GAAAGGAACAATTGAAATCGCGTCATATGACCCCTTTAAGGTAACACCACTAGCATTAAAATTAATGACTTCTTTAATGTAAATTATATATATATTATTTATTAAATTGTTATTTTTTTTTAATAACTGAACGTTTTACCCGTTTCAGTCATAAATTCAGTAATAAATATTTAGCAAACATCTTTTTATTATTATTTTTTCAAACTTGCATATTTGATATGCATATTTTCCAGCTCTTGAGACTTTCTTCAAAAATAATTGTAAATAAAAAGAATAAGATATAATAGGATCATATAGTCTTTCTAGATAAACAATTATTTTAAAACGTAGGTGTAATAAGTCTTTTGTGTACATTGTAGCATGATTTCCAGCCATCTGGCTTGCCCTTTTATAGTATAATTACGTTCTGAATTGCTGCGCGCCTCTAGTACGTACAGTACGTCAGGGAAGTTAGACACGCCCACCCGTCTCCAACATCAACAATAGACAACGTGCAAAACAAAATCTCAGACCACAAACGACATGAAAATACAAAGATAATTTTTGCTCAGTAGTTAACTCGACAAAGCTTTTGTTATTCAACTCCGAAGTATGGATACGGAAGCAAAGGTTTGTTACGTGCTTAAATGAGAAGCATCGTGTTCTGTTGGCAAGCAGTTACTGACAAGACGCTAATGAAACTACTTCATCCTTTAGTGTGCATGTTCAGAGCTGTTGTTTAAATATTATTATTATATTATTTGATTGTACGTAGGTTCCCAGCACAAGGAGAAGAGATCTCCCTCCCATTCCTCAAGGACAGAGGGTAAGTCTGGGGTTTGTACATGTTGAGGACTAGGCTTTCTGGGTTTATCCATTGCAATCTGTTTAAACCTCTTACATTATGCTTAAAACCAAAGACTATAGAATATATAGTCTGGATTGAAGCAATACCTTATTAATGCAAATAAATGCAATAATAAATACAGTCAGTGCTAGGGTGAACATGTACATTTAGATACACATTAGAATAAATCTCAGAAGATAAACCTACTTTTATTGGTAAAAGGGTAAATCTCACAAAAATGGTTGAGAATTGCCTAGATCATATTTGACCCCTAAATCATAAGGACATTTATCCTAATTTGGGGGCTACTAAGTTTTTTTTTAAAGGTATTCTTACATTATTTTCATTACATTTAAGCATAATTCTCATTTAAATTTTCATTAATGTGATGCTTCATGTTGATCAAAAGTAAAGGCATTATAAAAATGTTTCTATTTCAAATAAATGTTGTCCTTTTCAACATTCTATTCATTAAATAACCCTGAACTGAATACTCATCAAGGCTGCATTTATTTGTCCAAAATACTGTTTAATTAAATAAATACATAAGTAAGTAAGTAAGTGGTGGTGGTGTATGTGTTTATGTCAGAAGGTAGAGTAACAGTATTTGATGGTGACTCCTGAGTAGCTCCTCCTTTACATAACCCTGCTGCTTGGCAGATGCTCGTCTCAGATTTAGACTCGCATTAATCCTTGCTTTAAGTGCTCAGAGATGTTTGTTTGTACATGTTTCTTGTGTTCCCCCTGTACTCTTGAGTGGAATGGCGAAAAAGCCGACGGTAAGCTTTGTTAGACACAATATACAAATGTAGAGCCCTCAACAGGTTCAGCATCTGATGCTTGAGTTTCATTGGAACTCTTTATTGCTAACCTAATATTACTTTTGAACATTTTAGCGGGGACCACGAGCATTGCCATCTATGCCAAGGTAAGATCACCTAGCAGATCAGATGTTGTTTAAATTGTAATTGTTTTATACAGGGAAGTCATATGCTCTTCTTTTCCTTCCTCTTTCTTCATTATACCTTCAAACGCACAGTCAGGACACAGCAGGTGAGTGTTTCTCTTTTAAATGTTTTTCCACATTTGAGATCTCTTGGTCCAATCTTATTATGTATTTGAGTAGGTAATACTGTTTAAAATTTGATGACGAGTCAGTTAGATTGATTTGCCTAAGGTAAAATTGCCGTTTATTGGTCAGTTAACATTAGATTATGTAATGAAGCTCTTCTGTTGTCCGTCAAAGAGGAGATTCCTGCTCCAAAGAGTAGGAAAAAGAAGGCCAAGAGGGATGTGGAGAGTGTGGATGAACATGATGGTGAGTTTAGGTGATATAAGCAACACACATGACAGGAGAGAGTGGGGCTAGTTGTCATAAGGGCTAAATCTCAGCAACTGTAAGGTCAAACGTCCAATGACTTGTTTCAAACCAGTGTTATTTTAGTATCATTGATATATTATTATAGTTTTTGTTAATATTTTGAATGAGATTTTATTTAAATAATAATTTTACTTACAATTGTAATAATTTAACTGGGGAACTTTTAGATTTTTTTTGTCATTTTAATTCGTTTTTATATGATTTTTTATTTATACATTTTAGTTCATTTAGTTTTATTATTTCAGTACTTCAAGTTAAACTACTTTTTATGGTTTTAGTCAACTATATTTTTCAAACACCATTTTAAAACTATCATAAATTAGGATGCTTTTGTCATATCCTTCAAACCATATTTTTTTTGTCATATCCTTCAAACCATATTTAACAGTTGGGAAACAATTGAAGATAATAAATGTGTTCATGAACAAATATAGCATGGTTTGATGGCAAATGCTGTGATATTTTTGTATTTAGTCTTTTACTGTTTTATTGATTTGTGCATAATTATTAAAAATATTTAACTTTATGTTATTTTTGTCTTCAAGCTGCTATTCATTGGCAGGTTCCCATTTTGGCATGTTGGTGCAAAAGTGCTTCTAAGCTATTGGGTCTTTAAGTGGTTTAAAGTAGTGCAGTGCACTAAATCAGCTAATTAAAGTTGTGTTGCCATTGCTTTTCCAATCCGTGTTGGAATTGTGTATACATTTTACATAGTAGAATACATGGCTACTTTTGAATGGCTTTCAAAAGAGAGACAAAGATGGAGAAAGATGCTTTTTTGGAACAACATCTTCCAGCAGAGTCTGGATACTAGACCTTGCAACCAGACAAACTTGACTGCTTGGTATCACCTGTAGAAGCATGGTGTGTGCATGTGATGAGTTTGTTTCACCCTTGACCCTTGTAGATGGTGGAATGGAAATGGGAGGGCTTACCAGTCGCAGACAGTCTGAATGTCAGGAACCTTTGAGCCCAGAACCTGTGGACAATCCGCCACAAAGGAGGAAAAAGAAGAAGAAAGCACAAGCAATTGGTAGAAACACTGTTCAAAACCATGTACTGTTCACTACAACTCATCTGATACCTGTAGAAGTGGGAGTTTATTAACATAGACACCCCAGAAATAATGCTGATTTGCTCTTACTGGTCAGATGTTGAGGGAGATCAGACAGACTTGGTGTCAAATGGAGATATGGTGGATCAGCATGTCGACGAAGAGGTGACGCGCAAACCAAAAAAGAGGAAGTAAGTCTTTTTTTTAACCTTAAACAGGTTATTGAAAGGCTCCAGGTATTTTTCATGCACCACTGATGTGTCGTTTTTTATGAAAGCTCTATTGGATTGAATTTGTCATTTCTCCAGAGTGAAACCTAAAGTCACAGAAACACAGTCCAACAACGAATTGGACATAGAGGATGATGATATCATCACAGACCCCCAGGTGCCTGTCCCCCAGCATTCCTTGTTCTCCGCTCCCCAAGGACAGAGCCAGCCTGTGGGGAAGGTGTTTGTGGAGAGGAGCCGTAAGTTTCAAGCAGAATAATGTGTATATGGTGTGCAGGTGTTTGCTTAAGACTGTTTGCTTGTTCATACATTGCAACCTTTGACGTCTAAACATTTCAGTATTTCTAAGGTGAAGTTGTTTGTATGCAAGGTACTCTTTACATCATGAAATTAAGGTGGAGTGACCATGTATCTTTGGTGGCAGGTCGTTTTCAAGCAGCTGAGCGAGTGGACCAGTGGAAAGCCAGTGGCCCGATGGAGCAGAGCTTTATGGACAGCCGCTCAGTGTGGACCACTAGAGATGTCTCCTTGAGACTGCACAGCGGCTTTAGGTTTGCTTTCAACATCTGGTTTTAAATGGAACTTTATTTTCCAATTTGTTTAGATCTGTGCGGTTGCTTTAGACTTCAACTTAAAGGAATCATGAACTGACTTTTTTTTTATTATTTTGTACTGTTCTCTTAGGTCCACTTATAATGTTATCAAGATTTTTACATCAAAAAGCATCATAATTTAGAAGTAGTAGACTATTTTCGGTCCTGTTTTTGAGCCCCCTCATCAGAACGCTCTGTTTGAATAGGCGTGGCGGATTGTAGACTCGGAAGTAAACGCCCACTGCTATGATTGGCTAACAGTTGTGTATGTTTGACAGCCTACACAGATGGACGCTGCTGTCATTTAGGTCAAACACACATAAAATACTCAGTACATATCAAATTATCTGTAATAACACACAAAACAATAGTGATCACATAATGAAAACAGTTTCTCACACTTGTGAGTTGCGACATTACCGTCGGATCCAATATAGTCGGCACAGCGTCGTCTTTTTGTTTGAATCTTTCTGAAAATCCATGTTTGTAAACAAATCCGCAGTTAAATGAAGTGAACAAAGGACCAAGTTCTTACTGGCACGGTCTGGAATTTCATTAAAAATAAAGTTCGTCCACTCTTTCCTAAAGTTGGGATCAGAAGGAAGGCAATGCAAAGACTATTTTCTCCACAACTTGGCACTGCACAGCTTTTTGTTTTCTTCGGAGCCATCTTTATCGCTTGGTTTCTGCGTAGACCTGCACACCTCTCTCGTAAACACTACATGCGCGAATTTGTGGGTGGGGCTAAACAGGCAGCGATGTAGAAGCAGGCGTTGATCATCTTCTGCGGAGGCGGTGCTTATCCACACTATTACATCATAAAGTGGCACATTCCACAAGCTGTCGTTTTGGCAGACTGGCTTGAATATAAGCTGTTTTAGACTAACGAGAAAGTTTTGAGTTCTGAAACGTACAGGATTTTTTAATAGTACAATGACTGACCTCTTATATGTCAAAAGATCAAGGGAATTTTGATTTCTCAGTTCATGACCCCTTTAAAATGTATTTGATTAAATGGGTCATTTTATGCACAAGGCGCCTTTTTGACTGAAAAAGGTTCGATTGGATTTTTTTTATTAACTCAGTATGTATGAGAACAATGATAATGGAATGTGGCATTACAGGGTTGAAGTAATATTAAAGTTTCTTTAAAACTTAATTACGTTATTTTGTTAGTATACATATTCAGCACTGTTGTATATATTCTAACCTATTCTAGTCTAAAGAAGCTGAAACTAACAGGCTTTAAACAAAGTCTTTAGATTTGTGATGTTGTGCTTGTTCAGTGGCTGACCTTCTATTTAAGACCCACGTCACGTTTTAGTTTTTGGTGGAAAATAAAAAGATTTAAAAAAAACATAAATCAAGAGGAGTGTTAAAGCTTATTACATTTTACTAATTGAATTTACTCAAAATGTGATGTGTTGTTATAGTTGAAGAAGTTAATAGTCAACAATTAGTATTTAAGAACATATTACATACCAATAAACACAAAAGATTTTGTATAAATACACTACTGTTCAAAAGTTTATTATTACAGTAAAAGCAGTAAAAAATATGGAATATTATTACAGTTAAAATAACTCTTTTCTATTTTAATTTATTTTAAAATTCTATATATTCCTGTGATGGCAAAGACAAATTTTGAGCAGCCAAACAGTCCTTCAGAAATCATTCTAATATGCTGACTTGGTGCTCATGTAACATTTCTTATTATCACACTTGAAAATGGTTGTGCTGCTTAATATTTTTGTTGAACCCATGATACTTTTTTTTAAATATTTTTTGATGAATAATGTTCAAAATAATATCACTTTTTAAAACAGAATGTTTTTGTAACCTTATAAATGTCTTTACCGTCACCTTTATTCAGTTTATTGCATACTTGCTGAGCAAAAGAAAAAAAAATCTCACTGACCCCCAAACATTTGAATGCTGAAAGACTGTTTTCTAAACCTTGACTGTTGTTACTACACAGGGTGATTGGCCTGTTTTCCCATGGTTTCCTGGCTGGTTATGCTGTATGGAATATCATTGTGGTCTATGTTTTGGCTGGGGAACAGATGAGCACTTTTTCCAACCTACTCCAGCAGTATAATACCCTGGCCTACCCCGCACAGTCCCTGCTCTACCTGCTGCTGGCCCTCAGCACTGTTTCTGCCTTCGACAGGTGAATCACCAAACCATAATGCCATTTCACGTGAACTAACAAACAAAAGTCCAGTACACTGTTGCCATAAATATCTGTAGATGCCTGAGCCCTTGAGATTAAACTACACTTAACTACTTTGATCTCTCTCCAAACAGGTTGAATCTTGCCAAAGCCGCTACGACCATGAGGAGTTTACTGACCCTCAGTCCTGTGGCGCTTGCTTCCTTCTGTGAGTTTATCACATTTCTGTCAAAAAATTGATTTATGCACTCATACAGAAGCCATATATGATGAAAACAGCAATGTTTTCATGTACACCTTTTCTTTTTCAGTGTACTTTTCCGCACTCGTTTTATCATTAAGCCAGCAGATGACAAGTGATCGCATCAATCTCTATAATCAGTACTCCAGCTATAATGTGACACTCTGGTAAGACCCTCTTCATTAGAGCATGCTGGGTAAATGCTGTACAGTAATAAGAGCCGAGCGGTTGTGGTGTCTCCTCTCAGGCAGCCGGGCTCAGAGCGCAGCATCCTTTACCCCTGGATCATAGTAAACCTGGTGGTCACTTTGCTGGTCGGGCTGGCCTGGGTTCTGATGTCAACAAGTCCAGATATCGACCACACAGAAGGTAAACACTACAGGATGTTCTTTTCGCATACCAACATCTTATCCAGTGGTTTAAAATGGTAGTGTACTGTATATACTGCACATTATTAGGTACATAAAGTATTCATTCTGAACATATCTTGGTGTTCAAAACTGAAATTGTAAAGTTAGAAATTAAACTTGCATGAATATTACATGCATGTTTTTTCCCTCTGTAGAGTTTTTAATGTTGATGGAAATGGAACATCCAAAAGCAGAAGAGAAGGGAAACATCACTGCATAAGGCACCTGAAGGCATTTTGATACATGGTTGATTTGTCATTGTATATATTAGAAATGTCAAACACTTGCCTATTGTAAGGTCTCAGCAATAATTTTTTTTTTTTTAAATAAACCATTCTTTGTCTGATCGATATACAAGTGATTTCACAAGAGGCCACATTGTTTTGGCATTTTATTAAATGTCACACTGGAGCGGGCTGAGGGCGAGGTTTGGCCCGCTGAATTAAAACAGCCACCACAAGCCCACAGACACCAAACACAGTGAGAGCTCCTGCCGCCCATAATCCATAATCCAATATCTGTGGGACTAGAAGACATACATTTCCAGGTTAAGGCTAGTTTGCATGGGTTGTTCACTACATGAATATTTAAAAAAAAACAAAAAAAAAAAACATAACATCGCTTTTATACCTTCTTTATCTGCTAGATTATCAGAAACTGGCAAATGGGGTACAAGTATGACCTCCCCACTTGAAACTACAACCTTTTCCTCAGAATCCTTCAAGTCTTCTGAAATGGCCCTTCCTAAATTACAAAAAAAAAAAAAAAAAACTTTATTCTACACCAAGCAAAATGTATAGCCCACCTAAAGCTGAAGTTATCTTCAAAACCATTTTTGATTTGATTAAAACCAGAATTTAAGGAATACCAATACAATGTTGCCTTTCACACTCAAGCATTTGTTTGTGATACTGGTTTGTAATATTTGGTGTTTGTAACTCTCCTTCAACAAAAACAGAAAAAGAATCAGTCAACAGAAATGTGTAAAAAGTAATGTACCTTTTGAAGACATGGCCACTTCTGCAATTGTGGCATAAGGATCACATCGAAACTCTTCTAGGGAACTGATGGTGCATTGACCCACCACGGGTTTCCGTCCAAAGGGTCTGTGGTCGATGACTTTCAGCACTACAGGGGGAGTATACATCTCTTCTTTGGGTAGAAGCTACTCTTTCCTAAAGTTGGGATCAGAAGGAAGGCAATGCAAAGACTATTTTCTCCACAACTTGGCACTGCACAGCTTTTTGTTTTCTTCGGAGCCATCTTTATCGCTTGGTTTCTGCGTAGACCTGCACACCTCTCTCGTAAACACTACATGCGCGAATTTGTGGGTGGGGCTAAACAGGCAGCGATGTAGAAGCAGGCGTTGATCATCTTCTGCGGAGGCGGTGCTTATCCACACTATTACATCATAAAGTGGCACATTCCACAAGCTGTCGTTTTGGCAGACTGGCTTGAATATAAGCTGTTTTAGACTAACGAGAAAGTTTTGAGTTCTGAAACGTACAGGATTTTTTAATAGTACAATGACTGACCTCTTATATGTCAAAAGATCAAGGGAATTTTGATTTCTCAGTTCATGACCCCTTTAAAATGTATTTGATTAAATGGGTCATTTTATGCACAAGGCGCCTTTTTGACTGAAAAAGGTTCGATTGGATTTTTTTTATTAACTCAGTATGTATGAGAACAATGATAATGGAATGTGGCATTACAGGGTTGAAGTAATATTAAAGTTTCTTTAAAACTTAATTACGTTATTTTGTTAGTATACATATTCAGCACTGTTGTATATATTCTAACCTATTCTAGTCTAAAGAAGCTGAAACTAACAGGCTTTAAACAAAGTCTTTAGATTTGTGATGTTGTGCTTGTTCAGTGGCTGACCTTCTATTTAAGACCCACGTCACGTTTTAGTTTTTGGTGGAAAATAAAAAGATTTAAAAAAAACATAAATCAAGAGGAGTGTTAAAGCTTATTACATTTTACTAATTGAATTTACTCAAAATGTGATGTGTTGTTATAGTTGAAGAAGTTAATAGTCAACAATTAGTATTTAAGAACATATTACATACCAATAAACACAAAAGATTTTGTATAAATACACTACTGTTCAAAAGTTTATTATTACAGTAAAAGCAGTAAAAAATATGGAATATTATTACAGTTAAAATAACTCTTTTCTATTTTAATTTATTTTAAAATTCTATATATTCCTGTGATGGCAAAGACAAATTTTGAGCAGCCAAACAGTCCTTCAGAAATCATTCTAATATGCTGACTTGGTGCTCATGTAACATTTCTTATTATCACACTTGAAAATGGTTGTGCTGCTTAATATTTTTGTTGAACCCATGATACTTTTTTTTAAATATTTTTTGATGAATAATGTTCAAAATAATATCACTTTTTAAAACAGAATGTTTTTGTAACCTTATAAATGTCTTTACCGTCACCTTTATTCAGTTTATTGCATACTTGCTGAGCAAAAGAAAAAAAAATCTCACTGACCCCCAAACATTTGAATGCTGAAAGACTGTTTTCTAAACCTTGACTGTTGTTACTACACAGGGTGATTGGCCTGTTTTCCCATGGTTTCCTGGCTGGTTATGCTGTATGGAATATCATTGTGGTCTATGTTTTGGCTGGGGAACAGATGAGCACTTTTTCCAACCTACTCCAGCAGTATAATACCCTGGCCTACCCCGCACAGTCCCTGCTCTACCTGCTGCTGGCCCTCAGCACTGTTTCTGCCTTCGACAGGTGAATCACCAAACCATAATGCCATTTCACGTGAACTAACAAACAAAAGTCCAGTACACTGTTGCCATAAATATCTGTAGATGCCTGAGCCCTTGAGATTAAACTACACTTAACTACTTTGATCTCTCTCCAAACAGGTTGAATCTTGCCAAAGCCGCTACGACCATGAGGAGTTTACTGACCCTCAGTCCTGTGGCGCTTGCTTCCTTCTGTGAGTTTATCACATTTCTGTCAAAAAATTGATTTATGCACTCATACAGAAGCCATATATGATGAAAACAGCAATGTTTTCATGTACACCTTTTCTTTTTCAGTGTACTTTTCCGCACTCGTTTTATCATTAAGCCAGCAGATGACAAGTGATCGCATCAATCTCTATAATCAGTACTCCAGCTATAATGTGACACTCTGGTAAGACCCTCTTCATTAGAGCATGCTGGGTAAATGCTGTACAGTAATAAGAGCCGAGCGGTTGTTGTGTCTCCTCACAGGCAGCCGGGCTCAGAGCGCAGCATCCTTCACCCCTGGATCATAGTAAACCTGGTGGTCTCTTTGCTGGTCGGGCTGGCCTGGGTTCTGATGTCAACAAGTCCAGATATCGACCACACAGAAGGTAAACACTACAGGATGTTCTTTTCGCATACCAACATCTTATCCAGTGGTTTAAAATGGTAGTGTACTGTATATACTGCACATTATTAGGTACATAAAGTATTCATTCTGAACATATCTTGGTGTTCAAAACTGAAATTGTAAAGTTAGAAATTAAACTTGCATGAATATTACATGCATGTTTTTTCCCTCTGTAGAGTTTTTAATGTTGATGGAAATGGAACATCCAAAAGCAGAAGAGAAGGGAAACATCACTGCATAAGGCACCTGAAGGCATTTTGATACATGGTTGATTTGTCATTGTATATATTAGAAATGTCAAACACTTGCCTATTGTAAGGTCTCAGCAATAATTTTTTTTTTTTTAAATAAACCATTCTTTGTCTGATCGATATACAAGTGATTTCACAAGAGGCCACATTGTTTTGGCATTTTATTAAATGTCACACTGGAGCGGGCTGAGGGCGAGGTTTGGCCCGCTGAATTAAAACAGCCACCACAAGCCCACAGACACCAAACACAGTGAGAGCTCCTGCCGCCCATAATCCATAATCCAATATCTGTGGGACTAGAAGACATACATTTCCAGGTTAAGGCTAGTTTGCATGGGTTGTTCACTACATGAATATTTAAAAAAAAACAAAAAAAAAAACATAACATCGCTTTTATACCTTCTTTATCTGCTAGATTATCAGAAACTGGCAAATGGGGTACAAGTATGACCTCCCCACTTGAAACTACAACCTTTTCCTCAGAATCCTTCAAGTCTTCTGAAATGGCCCTTCCTAAATTAAAAAAAAAAAAAAAAAAAACTTTATTC